TATCAAAAGGCAAAATTTTGATTGGGTGTAAATTTTCCAGTATACAGTTAACTCGTTCACCCCTGAAATTTCATAATGATCTATTCCAACCTTTGAATTGGAAGAGTTCAAATCTGTCTTCAGGGGTGAATGAGTTAAGCTTGGTTATTCAATTTACCTACATGTACAGCAAACAGAAAATATTTACTTTATTATCAGTGATCAAAATAGGAATTTATTTCCTGTATACTAAACAGCGTCTCTGAAACCCAACTGACTATCAGCAGCTAGTGTAGCGATCCTTGTCTTTACACTACGATGCATTGTAGTACAATTTATGTACAAGAAACATTTATGGGCAGAGTGAACTTTTTTATATCTCCAATCTAAACAGTGTTGAACAGCTGGTTACCAGTGGCGTTATAATATCTCTTCACCAGCTGACCGACATATCCTAAAGGTTATACACGTTAGAGTGGAATCAGCTGCCTATCCTAACACATTGTGTCACCCTGCCTACATGATCATCAATATCATATAGATCGGTGGAAACCAATGTTTTACCATGGATCTGATAATTCGTTGATAAGTTGAAAAAGAAAGTTATTTTATGAAAGATTTCATTCAAAACATGACATGAAGTATAAACAGCTTATGCTTTATATATGATGTAAGGTGTAAACAGCTTCCTCTGACTCTGTACCAGTTGTGCACATATTACACTGTTTTATTTTGATCAGAAAGAAAAAGTTTTTTTTCCCACTTCCAGCGCCTAAGAAATCGGTGCAGTTAGGTGAGAACTTTTATATTTTGTAAAATATCTTACCAAAGTTATACCTGGTATGTACAGAGTTTCAGTATTTTTTTTCAGTGCCATTTTGAAATTAGCACCGAAGAACATGACAGTCAGCATTAAAAACAAGGATATGTACATTTTACGAGAAAGCAAGAACAGTTACACGCATTTTTTTTCTTTTTACCTAAATAGATATACATGTCTATATATAGGACAGTTATATACATGCATGAATACGCAGAATCTATATATCCGAGAAACAACTCTAGTAATGACCCTCAAAGAGCTCTCTTAGGACCAGGAGACAATATCTCCGAACAGTCCATACTTCAGGAAATCAACCCTCGGCTGTCTGTCTGGAAGGCCAGTACCGTAATTACAACCATTAGACCATTCTGTCCATATATAGTATCTGCATGCTGGTAACAGAGAGTCATTATTTTTTGTTCCCAAAAAAAACTTGTCTGGACAACCAGGGTTCTTATTGTAAAAGCCTTGCTGCTTGAATCTTTATGTACGATGGCCATGGCGGGGAAGTAACACTATAATGTTTCTTCCAGTCATTCATTTAATTTCTAGGGTCCAACAACATAATCCTCTATATATATATATATATATATATATACTACTTATACGTACCAAGGCAAACATAACACAAGACCTAAATAGCAAATAGCTGCTCGACCGATAGAACAAACAGAGTCGGCATTTATTCATAAATATACTATGAATATAATAAATATGCATTCACAAAAACTACTGACTTCATTAACCGTCCACACAAACAAACCTCCCACATATACCCTCGCATGGTTCATCGCCATACAAATGCTGGGATTTCTAACAAATAACGATGCCCACACATACATCTGTTCCATAAACATAAAATTCTGCTATAATTTTATTTCAAACTATTACTGCGCCGTGCGAGGTGCGAAGCTAGAACGAACTTACACGTACCCGTAAACTACCCTTAGCATGTGCCTCAATCTGATTGGCAAAAACCTCTGCACGAGACAGGCAACTGCCCACATATACTCTGTGTATACAGGACAAATATTTCCCGCTATTCTCCGAAAGGCGGAAAATTGTATTATACTTGGTGATGGAGTGCCAATTAGAGAGTTCCAAAAGGGCAGTAACTGTGTAACACTCAGTATAGACCAATGGATCATTACAATTATATACGCTTGTTCACTCATAAAGCCTCCTCCACACTTTAAAAAATAATTTCAAAGGGTTTTAAAAGAAGGGGTACCTCCACAAAAATGACTTAACCTGTCATTTTAAGAACAGTCTTCACCAGTCGCAGTGCATTGGTGGATCCAGGATTTCTGAAAATAAATACATGCACTCCCTACCTTTCCCCAACCCCACTTTAAATCTTAAAGGAATTGGGGTAGGTATATGGGCACCTCCCCCAAAGATATCTCATGATCCTACTGTCATTTTTGAAGAGGCTTGATCTCGTGGAAGACCAGCCTCACCTGTCAGGTATACGTAGCAGTGGTCAATCTAGGATTTCAGAAATGAAAAATTGGGCTCACGCATGATCTTAATTCTTAGTATGCACTCTCATGCAGACTCCCCATTTAAGGTCTGAAAGGGATGGAATGCTTGATCCATTGCTGGATTGTCTCCCTTATCAAGACAATATTTTGCAGAACAGTTCTGATCTTTTCTCCACACAAACATTGCCAGACATTTTTTAATGGAATTCTGCCACTTTACACAGGAAACCAAGCTTAGGTGGCTAGACTAGCATGTGACTACAAAACTACACAATAACAACTCTGTACATATGATTCAATTACATTTCATAGGTGTTGTATAAGAATCTTGCATCAAATCAACACACTCATCCTTATATAGAGGTTAGTGGTTCTGTCTGTGTGTCTTAAGGACAGAGATAGTACCTAAACTGTACACAGTACCATTATACTAAACTAAATTGCAACTACAGGATAGTTTGTCCAGGTAATGATAAAAAGGATGTCAACATGTAATATTTTTAATTTGTGGTGCGCAAAGATAATGGGAGGAAATTTAAAGGACATAATTGATCATGAAATGTCCTTATACATTCACCATCCCTAGTAAAATCGCTAGCCAATCAGTGATTTATGTATGATCAGCAGACATGGTATACAGTGTAATGATAAAACGAGGAATGACAGCCATGATATCGATGTGTCTATATCCCGCACCAGACCAATCCTACTACTCAATACCCAACACCAGATTAGTGATGGAGAGTAGACAATATCTACGCCAGAAATACATAAATAAGTGCCAAATATAGATATGATGTAGACGAGTATCTATAAAACATCTCTTTATTGAAATTTATTCGATTCAGCAATTTCCTTTCAACATCCTTTTGCTTCGAAAATTCATTATCTTTTGATATAGTTAAGTAACAGTTACTTGGTTCCAATTAAGTAATGAGGACATGACAACTAATCAATTATTTTAAAAAAATGAAGATGTGAGAACAAGAAGTAAAAAATCAGATAATTACTGATTTAAATAGTCATCTGTATGATATACTGTACACACTGATTTATCATTACATAACACACCTGTGTGATGTTAACACTGATTACATAACACACCTGGGTGGTATAAACACTGATTACATTACACACCTGTGTGATATTAACACTGATTACATTACACATCTGTGTGATATAAACACTGATTACATAACACACCTGTGTGATATAAACACTGATTACATTACACACCTGTGTGATATAAACACTGATTACATTACATACCTGTGTGATATAAACACTGATTACATTACATACCTGTGTGATATAAACACTGATTTCATTACATACCTGTGTGATATAAACACTGATTTCATTACACACCTGCATAATATAAATACTGATTACACACCTGCACAATACAAATACTGATTACACTCCAGTGTGATATTAACACTAATTTCATTACACACCTGTGTGATATAAACACTGATTACATTACACACCTATGTGATATAAACACTGATTACATTACACACCTGTGTGACATAAACACTGATTACATTACACACCTGTGTGGTATAAACACTGATTACATCACACACCTGTGTGACATAAACACTGATTTCATTACACACCTGTGTGATATAAACACTGATTATATTGCACACCTGGAATAGCTGTGTGACATAAACACTGATTGCATTTATATATAGTAGGGACCCAATTTGAAACTGTGACTTTTATACAATTGTTATTGGAATGACCGGTAGTTCCTTTTTTTCTGAGGGTAGAAACCCAGTATATAAAATGTCATAGTATGTTTGGGTTTTTTCCAATTATGTCCGTTATAAGGTTTTAATAGAACTTAAAAACCCACTTGATAGCATTATTGAAGTAAATATTTCACACAACAGAAAACTATTTTAAAATTGCAAAACCATTCGTAATTGCTATGCCAAAGGCTCTGCTTTATCTGTAAATATACTGGAATCAGCCTAGCACACAAGGGACAAACATTGATTCCCTGGAACATTGAACCTATTACTCAATACCGACCATTTATTACACTAGACTTGATGACCAAACCAAAGAGCGGAGGAATGGTTTGGAGCTGTGGATTACCACAGCCCCTCCTGTACAGCCATGAGTCAGCTGGGGACAGATGGGGGACACATGTGACTGGATCAATGACCCACTCCCTTACACAATGTCTGACAAGACAACTGATGCTGGGTATCCGCCTGCATCCTCTCGCACATGTAGTGCTAATCATATGCTATCTGACCGGAGCTGTGCTGTTATATAATATGTGTTAATTATTTTGTTTGATACACAAGCACATGTACATGTATTGTACACGTGTTTACAAATATATAGACACATCCCAATGTTTACATCAGTTCTGAGGACAAATATTCACTATTGAATGAACTCAAGTACAATAATTCAATTACACCTAGTGGGTGTAATGCATGTGTAATTCAGGTATCTACTCCTGAATGTGTAGTCCATGTCAAATGTCTTGATATGTTTATACATGCCAAGAAATACATGTACAATGTTTGTAGACTCTGATGAATAAAGAATGATTTTTACCTGATTCTTCTTCTAATCAACGAATACAGTAAATACATACAGTTATCATTCATGTATACATCAATTCACCATCATCATAAAACGCACGTGAGATTTACGAGGCGTGTTGTGTATGCTATACATATACTTACGATAGTGTAGTCTGTATGCAGCTCAGCTGTCAGTTGGTTTTACGTCCAAAGCAACATTTGGACATTATATCACGTCCTTTTACTGAATGACGGAAAGAACACACGTACACAGTAGTCTTATAATCCAATGAAATACACACAATATTCTTAGTGAGTAGGGTATGTCCTGCACTCACTCTGACACGGGGTATATTTGTATTGTACACTTCACCTGTGGCACACATGTACATACGGGTGCTTGTCAATGAAATACGTACAACACTCGGTACCGTTACACCATAGGTCCGACCGGCTTAGGTCGCTGGCTATTTACTATGAAGGCAAGTAACAACAACAATGCTTGTCAATCAACGTTAACGTAACGAAGCCATGCATCCCGTCGTCTGTGTAGCTAGAGACACGGTTCAGTGCCGTTCGTTGGCCCGATGAGAGTGTGAATGGCAGGCAACAAACATTTCAGTAGAACGCACAGCGTGCTCTAGTACTCGAGTCACGCGGAGATGTTTTATAAACAAATTTAAGCATCTGGACATCGATACACATAGTCCATAGCGTTCATGGCCAGAGTTGGGTTTGATCGGTCGTGCGGTTTGTGACATGCCCCGCGAGGTGACCTTGACTTCAGTTGATCTCACCCTGAATGATGAATATTGAATCGCGATGCATTATAATGGCCTACCCATATGTTGTAATTATATACCCAGGCAGATATCACAATGGCGAGTTCATCAGTAAATTGGGTAAACGGCGACCGAGGCGTCCCGATACATGCTGCAGACCTACCTTCGGTTATATTCTTCATGCATAATGTATTGACAAGACTATCGTAAGCCCGCGGAATCGGTTTTTATAGAATTCCAACAGTCGACATGGACTGTGTGCCGCTGCTATTATAATCGGTTGTTTATTTATTAAGCGTCTAGCCGCAGCAGGCATCGATTATTTGATAGCTGAAGCGGTCAAGTTGATCTGCTGGGACTAATGGATGACTATTAGGCCCCATATAGCCTTAATACTCCTGAACATTTTATCAAATTTCAACCCAAAGCCATCTAGATATTTTCTTTTAACACAACACAAGTTAAAATGGATTTTCTCGCTGACGTTTGACAATTTCATAAAAAAGAATGATCTGCGTGAGTTCGCCAATCGCTTAAAAGAGTACATCTAGTTGTTTTTTAAAACATTACAATATCAGTCATATAATTTCTGAATATATGGGTCAATGATATATTCAGAACGGTTCCTTGTGTGGTATATATGACAGGTCTACCTACATGACAAAAGGGTTCGCAGGTTTTACCTCGCCTCGACATGTACAGTCAGCACACGCATGCAAACCATACCCCTTTCAGCATTTTAACCTTTATTCTAACAAACCCGATATATAAATTTGGGAGAGAAAACAACATATACGAAAAGAAAATCCCAACGTTGTATGGTAGATAGTGAACTACTGCCGAAAAACAGGGTAACGTTTTCTGGTAACGGAAAGTGTGCACTTGAACGGAAGGAGATGACGTCATTCAGAACTATCCTGGTATAAAAACGTCTCTGGATGAGAGTATTAACGCCGTGATTGATATAAGCGCCGAGCACCGAAGAAGAATTTAATTTGCAGCCCAAACAGTGGCCTCGCTTTTGTGAACTTGATCCAATACTATTTTCAACCAAGTCTGGTTAGATTATGACGCATACACCTAATAAAGCCTCCAGAAGAAATAAGGTCATGTCGATGGTACGTTATGTACATTCAAATGACAATGCATTCACATTGGTAGGCCACAATATTGTTTTCAATACACTATCCGTCACATTTATGATTGACCTCCGGCACAAGTAATGCTTAATTTGTTACTGGACAACATCAAAGTAAAAGAACTGGACACAACATCATATGATGGTACTGGACACAACGTCATCTGACGGTACTGGACACAACCGACTTATGATGGTACTGGACACAACGTCATATGACGGTACTGGACACAACGTCATATGACGGTACTGGACACGACGTCACATGACGGTACTTGAAACAACGTCATATGACTGTACTGGACACAACGTCATATGACGGTACTTGAAACAACGTCATATGATGGTACTGGACACAACGTCATCTGACGGTACTGGACACAACGTCTTATGATGGTACTGGACACAACGTCATATGACGGTACTGGACACGACGTCACATGACGGTACTTGAAACAACGTCATATGACTGTACTGGACACAACGTCATATGATGGTACTTGAAACAACGTCATATGATGGTACGGGACACAACGTCATATGATGGTACGGACACAACGTCATATGACGGTACTTGAAACAACGTCATATGATGGTACGGGACACAGCGTCATATGACGGTATTTGAAACAACGTCATATGATTGTAATGATCACAAAATCACGAGTCTAATGGAAATTATGTACACGACGTAAGTGGTGATCTCTTAACTTGACGTCACGAGATGTTACGCTATGGTACCTGATATGACGTCAGGTAATGTTCTCTGTACACGACGGTCCGTTACTGTACTGGACATGTTCTCTGTACACGACGTTACGTTACTGTACTGGACATGTTCTCTGTACACGACTTTACGTTCCTGTACTGGACATGTTCTCTGTACACGACTTTTCACTACTGTTCTGGACATGTTCTCTGTACACGACTTTACGTTACTGCACTGGACATGTTCTCTGTACACGACTTTACGTTCCTGTACTGGACATGTTCTCTGTACACGACTTTGCGCTACTGTTCTGGACATGTTCTCTGTACACGACTTTACGTTACTGTACGGGACATGTTCTCTGTACACGACTTTACGTTACTATACACGACATGTTCTCTGTACACGACTTTACGTTCCTGTACTGGACATGTTCTCTGTACACGACTTTCCGTTACTGTACTGGACATGTTCTCTGTACACGACTTTACGTTACTGTACTGGACATGTTCTCTGTACACGACTTTTCGCTACTGTTCTGGACATGTTCTCTGTACACGACTTTACGTTACTGTACTGGACATGCTCTCTGTACATGACTTTACGTTAATGTACGCGACATGTTCTCTGTACACGACTTTTCGCTACTGTACTGGACATGTTCTCTGTGCATGACTTTACGTTACTGTACTGGACATTTACTGTACACGACATGTTCTCTGTACATGACTTTACGTTACTGTACTAGACACGTTCTCTGTACACGACTTTACGTTACTGTACACGACTTTACGTTACTGTACACGACATGTTCTCTGTACATGACTTTACGCTACTGTACTAGACACGTTTTCTGTACATGACTTTACGCTACTGTACACGACACGTTCTCTGTACACGACTTTACGTTACTGTACACGACATGTTCTCTGTACATGACTTTACGTTACTGTACTGGGCATGTTCTCTGTACACGACTTTACGTTACTGTACACGACATGTTCTCTGTACACGACTTTACGCTACTGTACTGGACATGTTCTCTGTACACGACTTTACGTTACTGTACTGGACATGTTCTCTGTACACGACTTTACGTTACTGTACTGGACATGTTCTCTGTACACGACTTTACGTTACTGTACTGGACATGTTCTCTGTACACGACTTTACGTTACTGTACTGGACATGTTCTCTGTACACGACTTTACGTTACTGTACTGGACATGTTCTCTGTACACGACTTTACGTTACTGTACTGGACATGTTCTCTGTACACGACTTTACGTTACTGTACTGGACATGTTCTCTGTACACGACTTTACGTTACTGTACTGGACATGTTCTCTGTACACGACTTTACGTTACTGTACTGGACATGTTCTCTGTACACGACTTTACGTTACTGTACTGGACATGTTCTCTGTACACGACTTAACGTTACTGTACTGGACATGTTCTCTGTACACGACTTTACGTTACTGTACTGGACATGTTCTCTGTACACGACTTTACGCTACTGTACTGGACATGTTCTCTGTACACGACTTTACGTTACTGTACTGGACATGTTCTCTGTACACGACTTTACGTTACTGTACTAGTCATGTTCTCTGTACACGACTTTACGTTACTGTACACGACATGTTCTCTGTACACGACTTTACGTTACTGTACTAGACATGTTCTCTGTACACGACGTTCCGTTACTTTACTGGACATGTTCTCTGTATATGACTTTACGTTACTGTACTAGACGCGTTCTCTGTACACGACTTTACGTTACTGTACTGGACATGTTCTCTCTACACGACTTTACGTTACTGTACCGGACATGTTCTCTGTACACGGCTTTACGTTATTGTACTGAAAAGATTCTCTGTACACGACTTTACGCTACTGTACTGGACATGTTCTCGGTACACGACTTAACGTTATTGTACTTTACTGTACTGGACATGTTCACTTTACACGAATTTACGTTACTGTACGGGACATGTTCTCTGTACACGACTTAACGTTACTGTACTGGACATGTTCTCTGTACACGACTTAACGTTATTGTACTGAACATGTCGTCACGTGATTTCTGTACACGACGTTTCATACTAGACATATCGTCACGTGATGTTCTTGGTACACGACGTTACTTAATGATACTTGGCATGACATACCGTGATGTTTTTTTCTACGTGATGTTATGAGCTGGAACTGCACATGACGTCACGTGGTGTTCTCTGTATACGACGTTACGTTATGGAACTAGACACGGCGTCACATTATGGTATTAATCAAAATGTCATGTGGTTATCTGAACAGGATGTCACGTGGTATTCTTTACAAGAAATCAGGTGATTTTACTTGACACTGGACACCACGTCATTTGATGTACTCGACACAAAGGCGTAATGGTACTTTGCAGGCAACAAACACTTTATAGGAACGCACTGCGTGTTCTCACACTCCAATCATGCGGACATGGTGGTCACTGTTAGAGTCGGTCATGGTGGTCACTGTCAGAGTCGGACATGGTGGTCACTGTTAGAGTCGGTCATGGTGGTCACTGTTAGAGTCGAACATGGTGGTCACTGTCAGAGTCGGTCATGGTGGTCACTGTCAGAGTCGGACATGGTGGTCACTGTCAGAGTCGGTCATGGTGGTCACTGTCAGAGTCGGACATGGTGGTCACTGTCAGAGTCGGTCATGGTGGTCACTGTCAGAGTCGGTCATGGTGGTCACTGTCAGAGTCGGACATGGTGGTCACTGTCAGAGTCGGTCATGGTGGTCACTGTCAGAGTCGGTCATGGTGGTCACTGTCAGAGTCGGACATGGTGGTCACTGTCAGAGTCGGTCATGGTGGTCACTGTCAGAGTCGGTCATGGTGGTCACTGTCAGAGTCGGACATGGTGGTCACTGTTAGAGTCGGACATGGTGGTCACTGTCAGAGTCGGACATGGTGGTCACTGTCAGAGTCGGTCATGGTGGTCACTGTTAGAGTCGGACATGGTGGTCACTGTCAGAGTCGGTCATGGTGGTCACTGTTAGAGTCGGTCATGGTGGTCACTGTTAGAGTCGGACATGGTGGTCACTGTTAGAGTCGGTCATGGTGGTCACTGTTAGAGTCGGACATGGTGGTCACTGTTAGAGTCGGTCATGGTGGTCACTGTTAGAGTCGGACATGGTGGTCACTGTTAGAGTCGGTCATGGTGGTCACTGTTAGAGTCGGACATGGTGGTCACTGTTAGAGTCGGTCATGGTGGTCACTGTTAGAGTCGGACATGGTGGTCACTGTTAGAGTCGGACATGGTCGGTGGAGTAGGTTTGTGAAAGACTCTTTCTTCTAGTTGACCTAAACTTCAGTTTATCCCA